TCCCCATCCCCCACTGCTATATACCTCCATTCAATTACAAACCTTTGTACTTCCCCCCATCTCCTCCCACACCCGATCCTGTCCCCCTTTTCTTACCCCTTTCTTTCTTCCTCCCAGATCCTTCCCTCCTGAGATTATTTTGTTCCCTCTTCTAAGTAGAAGTGAAGCATCCATGCTTTGGTCTTCCTTCTTCTTGAGCTTCATATGGTCTGTGAGTTGCATCGTGGGTATTCTTGGCTTTTTTCCTAATATCCATTTATCAATGAGTTTATACCATGTGTGTCCTTTTGTGACTGGGTTAGCTCACTTAGGATGATATTCTGTAGTTCCATCCATTTGCTTGCAAATTTCTTGAAGTCATTGTTTTTAATAGCTAAGTAGTACTCCTTTGTGTAAATGTACCACATTTTATGTATCCATTTTTTTTGTTGAGGGATATCCGGATTGTTTCCAGCTTCTGGCTATTATAAATAAGGCTGCTTTGAATATAGTGGAGCATGTTCCTTTTAACATGTTGGAATATCTTTTGGGTATATGCCCAGGAGTTGTATATCTGGGTCCTCAGGTTGTAAGTACTATGTCCAGTTTTCTGCAGAACAGCCAGCTTGATTTCCAGAGTGGCTGTACCAGCTTGCAATCCCACCAACAATGGAGGAGTGTTCCTCTTTGTCCACATCCTCACCAGCATCTGCTGTCACCTGAGGTTTTGATCTTAGCTGTTCTGACTGGTGTGAGGTAGAATCTCAGGGTCTTTTTGATTTGCATTTCCTTTATGACTAAGGATGTTGAACATTTCTTTAGGTGCTTCTCAGCCATTCAGTATTCCTCAGTTGGGAATTCTTTGTTTAGTTCTGCACCCCATTTCTTGATAGGGTTATTTTCTCTGGAGTCTAACTTCTTGAATTCTTTGTCTACATTGGATATTAGGCCTCTGTCAGATATAGGGTTGGTAAAGATCTTTTCCCCATTTGTTGGATGCTTTTTAGTCCTATTGACAGTGCCCTTTGCATTACAGAAGCTTTTCAATTTTATGAGATCCCATTTGTCCACAGTTGATCTTAGAGTCTGAGCCACTTTGGTGTTCAGTTCAGGAAAATTTCCCCTGTGACAATGTGTTCAAGGCTCTTTCCCACTTTTGCTTCTAATAGATTCAGTGTGTCTGATTTTATGTGGAGGTCCTTGATCCACATGGACTTGACCTCACGCTGTACTACAGAGACTGCTCTGTAGTGATAAAAACAACAACAACAACAACAAAATGCATGGTATTGGTACAGAGGCAGACAAGTAGATCAAGGGAATAGAATTGAAGACCTATAATTAAACACTCACACCTATAGTCACCTGGTACTGCCTTATTCAGGTGAAGCCTGACATGGCAGCTCTATTAGCCATGTTGTGGAACCTCTAATACTTTTCTACTCAGAATCATTTCCTAAT